TTTTTTTTGTAAGTTACTTGACAAGTATTGAGTGGAGAGTGGCCGTTTCAATGTACAATTTATAGAGTAGGTCAACGCAGTTTGTTAAATCTTGATGTAGTAGTTGCGGTTTAAGAGGTCCGAACTTTAGTTAACTATGACTAGTTAGATGGCAATGGGATCGATTGACCGCAACGACCGTTTCGATCGATTTCCGTTTTCGCAGGCACACGATTTGTTCCACGACGGCTCCCTGGGCTACAACATCAATTTGGCCATTGTCCGGCTGATCCGGCTCGAGGACGACGACCACGAGGTAAAACCGAAGCCCGATTATTAATTTCCCACATGAAGATTAATTTATATAAGACCATCCCTCATCCTCGATCTCATCCAACTCCTTCATCTTTCTCGCCACTCTTTTTCCATCGACACCGATGATGGAAAGTTCATCTGGGGGTGTGTAGAAAGAGACGCACAGAAAGAATGAAAGAGAAGATAACAAGAGAGAGAAAAAAAAAGAAATTGAACGAGTATCATAGAAAGACGAAAAACGCGAGAGCGAGTCGTGTAATTAATGTCCTCCTTTTTGTGCGTCGACTCTGAGGGGGTCGCTGCCACCCTTAACCTCCTTTTCTCCCCATTATTATTGTATTTTTTTCTACTTATTTCTATATATATATATAACGTACTGATAACAAACGATTCATCCCCTGCTCGCAGATGAACGTCTCGCCACGCAAAAATCCGAGACGCGCCCTCGAGCACTTTCGCAAGTGGCAAAACAGAATTAACCCCAGGGACGACGACCACCCCAATCACCATGACGTTGCAGTTTTACTCACAAGGTGTGTATTATTAAACGCAAAATGCTTGCCGGCAGAAAATTCCTATCCTCGCCAACCCCCCGAGCTTTGCACAACATTCGCCACCCCTCCAATACAAAGCGCAGATCGAGCTCGTATGTTTGTGTACATACACGCTCAAGTTGTACGTGTGTGTGTGCGTTTTGCGGTCGACGTAGTTGCACGTTGCAGCAGCAAAAAGCATATTAAAGCTCGGGCTTGATGAGTTGTGTTGATTACATGAGGATATCGGGGCCACTGATTAAAAATATGATATATAATGCGCCATTCGCCGAGGGAAATAGTGCATCCCACCGATTCTTTTCAACCCCCAACGTATTATGTTTTTTTTTTCCTCTTTACAACCATGTTTATATTCATCAATTTCTGCAACAGGCCAACGACCCCGATGAAACGAAGTTTTCAGTTCTTTTTTTTTTTCTTTCTTGCTCGTCCATTGGGGCAGGGTAAAAAATGCGAGGGTCGGGTTCTTAATTGCGGATCTAATCCAATTTGTGGTCAACGCGTTTTCACGCCCACAAGGTTATTCAACCTGGATGTTTTATTAAGTTTCGAAGGGCGGATGGACGGAAAGAAAAAAGAAGAAGTGTACGAATAATATTACCTCATCCTGCTCGTTCCATTTTCCTTATATTAAGTTTGTAACTCAAATTACTGCGGACTTTGGCGCAGATTAAGTGGATCCCATATTGCAGTCGCGCGGTGAGGACTACCCAATATTATATTCCAATTATATTGTAAATCGATTTCGACGGTCACGCTAAAATCTTAACTGCATCAATTTGCATCGTAAAGCGCGACGTGCATTTGAATATGACGTGCATTAGTTTTGGGTCAGAATGCGCACTTCATCCCTAACCTCAACACATTCTCTATCAATACACTAAGTAAATGATCATACATTAATTTATTTACAATTATTAATTGCAACAATGCTAATTTTTATTTTGCATTATTATAAAGATTAACTTTAAAAATCACAAATTAAAATAATGAAAAGAAATACTTATATAATAATTTGATTAGTAAGGCAAAAGAAAATATAGATAATTATAAAAATATTGCATTTTTAACTTAAAAAATTCATATTTTTTCTTGTACGAGTAAATTAAAGAAACAAATTAACCCTTGTGGACGCGCGCGAATTCTTATTACATGAAGACGCCCACTATCTATTACATCAGTTTAAATGCTATCTTATGTAATTATAATGTGTAATTTATTGGAAAAATTTATTTTAGAAGCATTTAGTACACAAATAGGAATATTTATTTAGTTTATTCTATTGCTTTGTTATTGATTTGTTTGTAAATCTGAAGCCATTATACCAAAAATGCAAAACCAAACACAAAATTAGTCAATAAGTTATCACTGTATACCAGTTGCGCGCGATGGGTAAAATTTACCCTGGCGTACTTTATACTACAGTTGACAAGTAGTGACTGCTCTAAAAATAGGATAATTTTAGGTATGTCTTTTAGGTATAGTCCATTTGGAAGGTACTGAGTGGCGGCAGCACGTAACTTGAAAAACAAGTCGGTTATAAACAATTATCTTTAGGTATAGGTATGCTTTACCCACTGCGCGCGTCCACAAGGGTTAAATTTTGTTGTTAATTTATTAATAATCAATTTGTAGTAATGGGTAAAAATGAAGACTAAGAATATTCTATTTAAGGATTATTAAAAACCCGAAAAGCCAGTAAGGTTTGCAGGTTTTTTTTTATCCGAGGATTTTAATAATAAAATAAAAACGAGATTTTCCTGGTGAGGCGCGGATCTTGGAGGAAATAAAGAAAAGCAGCGAGGGGAAAAATAATCACCTTCGGAGCAACGGATTCGATTAAGAGCAAAGACGTGCAATAATATCTTTGAATCTTCTCTTAGATATGTACTTGAAACCGATTATAAAACACGACATACAATTTATTTCGCATCTCGCGTTTTCTGTTGAATGCAAAATAGAATTTGCAGATTTTTAATTTCGATTTAATTACGAATCCTTTTATTGAATTCTCGTTTTCTTTTTAAACATGCCGGCTACAATTCCTCATATCTCATTACATGAACCATTACTAATTGCTTGTCTTTTATTTTATACATAGACTAAAACGGAAGACACAAAAAATGAGGGCATTATTCCATCATCTATAAATTATGTATGGATTTTTCAGAATTATATACTTTTAATGCAGAAACCTCCAACATTTATACTACAATAGTAAGATTCACGTAATAATATTTTGATATTTATGTGTAATTCGCTGTCAATTTTTCCATTCTCAAAAAAACAGTGTAATTAAGTTTTAGTATTAGTCAAACACTATGAAAATAATGAAGAATATTGAATATTCAAAGCATAAGTATTTGTATATAATTTCAGTCAAATAAGCTGCCAAATTTTACTTTTGTTTTTTCAGGAAAAGTAGTGGCTTTATAAATATTAATATTTCTCAAAAACTATCAAATTTTGTTAGAATATTGATCTTATACAATAAAGTTAAAACTATTGTCTATGAAATATATGGAATGGTATAGTTACTAAAGTTTACCTGTAATTGGTTGTCACAGTTAAATATCTTCGTAACTTTTGAGGTTAGAATATTGAATATTCATATCCAAATACATTTTAGAGTATTTATCGAATACTGAATACTGAAACTGAATACTGAAAAGTAATCAGACTACAGAATATCAATATTAAAGCTGAATCTGAAATATATATAATGGTAAGTTATGTCATTTTTAGATAAATTTTGAATTGCTGCCAAAATTGGACATTTCATAACGATTTACACTTTATGGTATATCTCAAAAACTACAAAAGGCAGCCATAGTATTTTTTTTTAACTATGTGAGCAACGGTAATTGTTTTGTAACGGGTAAAAATTATTGTTGTTGTTGTTTGTGTTTCTTTGAGGTTTTGAATATTCATGAAACTGTGTCAGTTTCGGCGTTGTTTGTTTCAATTATTTATTCAGCTCCTGTGTAAGTACAAAGTTAGTGTTAAATTGGGATGCAAAAATAATGCAAGTGGCTGAGGCAACGGCGGTTATTAAGGTTTTATTGAAGCATTAACCCGGCGCATCCGCCCGTAAATGTATACACGTATAACCAAACCACATCCACAGCCGCCCATGCGAGGATGACGATGATGGTACATTGTCGTCACATAGTTTTCTTTACTCTTCTCTTTATACGTACTTTTTTTTTGTATTTTTTTTTCCGTGCTTGTTTGCCTTTATTTATTTTTTTTGCATGGGAAAACACGACGGATCGATAAGTTTTAGGCCGGTTGGCTTGTGCATCCGCGTGTGTACACAATCCTGTCGATAATTCAATGTAATTCGGTTGGCTTGTCCTTGGTGCAGGACCGACATGTGCGGAGACGACAGGAGCTGCGGTCTCCTGGGGATGGCGAAGCTCGCAGGCATTTGCGATCCCGATAACCAGGCGGTCATATGCCAGGACAACGGTCTGCGGTTGGGCTTCACCATCGTCCACCAGATCGGACACGCGTAAGTGAACAAATTACACTAATTACATGAAAACCCCGGGGATGCCTTTTTCACAACCCTCACTCCCTCACTCCATTCCACGAATTGCCGCCGTCCGTTGCGTCCAATTTGCTTCCTCTCCACTTTTTTTCTCTCTCTCACACACACTCTACAACCCCCGAAAAACCATGCTCGACGTCGTTCGCGCGGAATTTAATTCAATTCCACAAGTGCAACGTGGCAATTCGTGCGTTAATTCTACCACCATTTCATCCATCCCTCTCTTCTCATTCACTCATCCAATATCGTTGATTTTTTTTGTTGTTGTTGTTGTTGTTGCTCTAGTTTGGGAATGCTTCACGATATTGATGATCGGAACGAGACGTCCATCATGGATCCGTACATCTCGCCGAAGATGAACCACTGGAGTCCGTGCAGCCGTCGCTCGTTTGCGAATTTTATTAAGTAAGTTTCACTGGGTTTTCACCCTCCCAATATCCGTCCGGAGTCCGGATAGTTCCAGTAAAGTGTCCCAGTTTAGTTCAGGTCTCGGTGCATGCCTGTACGATCCGCCGACGGATCACAGCTTCGTCCTGATGGACGCCTTGCCCGGGGTCATGTACGACGCCGACTACCAATGCAGGGAACTGTTCGGACCCAACGCCGGCCTGTGCATGACCGGACTCGTAAGTACTTTGCGAACATTCCCAATCATACCTAACCCCCAACCCTTACCAACAAGCAGAAAAACGTGCATGAAAATAGGAATTTTCGTATAAATACACCTGCTTCAAATCCAATTTTGTTAACTAATCCAATCAGTTCAATAAGTCTAATAAGAAATTTACGAAACGTCAATGTTACGTCAAAAATAGGCAAACGTCAAATTGATTTCCAATCTCATCAAACAAACAGAAAAATGCATGCCAATACAAATAACTTTTCCACTTTTGTTTTTTTTTATGTAACTATTCCATTTTTGTTCATTTTATGTAAATACATCTTCTTCGATTCCAATTTTGTTAAGTAATGGAAACAATCCAATAAGTCTAATTGACAGAATATCAACTTTCAAAATTTAGACTAATAAGCAATTTACGAACGTCAAAAATTAGTCAAACGTCAAATAACTGATTCCAATTTAAGTATTGGAATCAGTTCAATAAGTCTAATAAGTAATTGACAGATCGTCAACTGTACTTCAAAAATTAGTCAAACGTCAAATAACTATACCATTTTTGTACTTTTTATGTAAATACATCTTCTTTGATTCCAATATTGTTAAGTAATGGAATCAGTTCAATAAGTCTAATAAGTAATTGACAGAACGTGAACTGTACGTCAAAAAACAGTCAAACGTCAAATAACTATTCCACTTTTGTTGTTTTTATATAAATACATCTTCTTCAATTCCAATTTTGTTAAGTAATGGAATCAGTTCAATAAGTCTAATAAACAATTGACAGAAAGTCACCTGTACGTCAAAAATTAGTCAAACGTCAAATAACTATTCCAATTTTGTTAAGTAATGGAATCAGTTCAATAAGTCTAATAAGCAATTGATAGAATGTCAACTGTAAGTCAAAAATTAGTCAAACGTCAAATAACTAATCCCCTTTTTATGTAAATACATCTTCTTTGATTCCAATTTTGTTAAGTAATGGAATCAGTTCAATAAGACTAATAAGCAATTGACAGAACGTCAACTTTACGTCAAAAATTAGTCAAACATCAAAGAACTATTCCACTTTCGTTCATTTTATGTAAATACATCTTCTTCGATTCCAATTTTGTTAAGTAATGGAATCAATTCAATAAGACTAATAAGCAATTGACAGAACGTGAACTGTACGTCAAAAAATAGTCAAACGTCAAATAACTATTCCACTTTTGTTCTTTTTATGTAAATACATCTTCTTCAATTCCAATTTTGTTAAGTAATGGAAACAGTTCAATAAGTCTAATAAGCAATTGACAGAACGTCAACTTTACGTCAAAAATTAGTCAAACATCAAAGAACTATTCCACTTTTGTTCATTTTATGTAAATACATCTTCTTCGATTCCAATTTTGTTAAGTAATAGAATCAATTCAATAAGACTAATAAGCAATTGACAGAACGTGAA